AAAAAAAAAAAAAAAAAAAAAAAAAAAAAAAAAAAAAAAAAAAAACCAGCACCCAACTCCCTGTTGTGACCCTCATCAGTGTATCATCAACCTGCAGGATGGTGAGGTTGTTCTCTCCCAGCTATGCTGTGCTTCCACTGTTACACACAATGTGACTGTGCAATTGTGTATGTGTGTATTGGAAATTAATAAGGATCAAACATGAATGTGCAAAGCCTAGGTATTCAGAGCTTGCTGCAGCAACAGCAATATAATGCGTGCCAGTGACCCAAACACCAGGCATTGGGCATCTCTATCACTATCACATCTCTCACAAATCTCTGTGCTGCATTGTGTGGCCACATCTGCTGTATCAGAACCTCCATCCTGTCACACAGGTCCTTGGTGTGCTTTGCATATGCCAGTTATGTGTCTCATGTCTGTCAACATTTCCTGTTGTGAACGTGCTATACCCATGTGTGAATCCAGGCTGTGTTGAGGGATGTCAGATTGACACACCACCACACAGCATTCCTAAGTACTGTCCCAAGGTTGTGCTACAGGAAAACTATCACACACAGAAACACTTCCACTGTATTTGGGACACCTAGATCATACAATACCTGAAATGTCTTATTATTATTCGAGATCAGCTTGGGCAACATAGTGAGACCCCATCTCTACAAAAAAATTGTTAAAAATTAGCTGGAGCCCAGGTGTGGTGGCTCACACCTGTAATCCCAGCACTTTGGGAGGCCAAGGTGGGTGGATTGCTTGAACTCAAGAGTTTGAGACAATCTTTGGCAACATGCAAAACCCTGTCTCTACCAAAAAAAATAGAAAAAATTAACTGGGCGTAGTGGCGTGCACCTGTGGTTCCAGCTACTTGGGAGGCTGAGGTGGGAGGATCGCTTCAGCCTGGGAAGCATAGGGTGCAGTGAGCTGAGATCACTCCAGCCTGGGTGACAAAGCGAGACCTTGTCTCAAAAAACAAACAAAAAAAAATTAAATAGGCCAGATGCAGTGGCTCACACCTGTAATCCCAGCATTCTGGCAGGCCGAGGCGGGCGGATCACCTGAGGTCAGGAGTTTGAGACAAGCCTGGCCAACATGGCAAAAACCCATCTTTACTAAAAATACAAAAAATTAGCTGGGCGTGGTGGTGCATGCCTGGAATCCCAACTACTTGGGAGACTGAGGCAGGAGAATCATTTGAACCTGGGAGTTGGAGGTTGTGGTGAACCAAGATCATGCCACTGCACTCCAGCCTGGGCAACAGAGTGAGACTCTGTCTCAAAAAAAAAATAAAGCTTTTTAAGTTATTTAAGATACCTGGAGGATACTGATGGCATGCTATCCTAGAGGGCTGCCTAACTCAGTCCCTTCTTTGAGAACAGTCCACCACCCACAGTCCTGTTAACCAGTCTCTGGGGACACCTGACCCAGCTAGGCTGGATCAATCAAGTTTTCTCCCCTGAATTCTGGAATAAACACCTCAGACAGAGGGCAGTGTGTGCTGGGCACTAGGGTGAAGGTTTGTGTTTAGAAAGGACCGTTTCTAAGGCTGGATGCGTTGGCTCACTTCTGTAATCCCAGCACTTTGGGAAGCCAAGGTGGGCGGATCACGAGGTCAGGAGTTCGAGAGTAGCCTGGCCAACATGGTGAAACTGCGTCTCTACTAAATATAAAAAAAAAAAAAATTAGCCAGGCATGGTGGTGGGCACCTGTAGTCCCAGCTACTCAGGAACCGGAGGCAGGAAAATCACTTGAACCCGGGAGGCAGAGGTTGCAGTGAGCCCAGATCACACCACTGCACTCCAGCCTGGGCAACAGAGTGAGACTCTGTCTCAAAAATAAATAAAGGGCCATTTCTACCTTGTTGATCCCCAATGTAGACACAGGGAGACCAGGCAAAAGAATGTGAGACCAAAATAGAATACAGCAGGACCTGTGGTTAGAAAGAGAAGGGTTTGAGATGCCTTTCTCACCAGGCAGGTATGAGTAAGAGAATGAAATCAGAGGACTAGGGTCACCCACATGGGACAGAAATAAAGCTTTACCCAGCAAGACCAAGAGCCCACAGTTCTCCAGCCTCACATCTTGGTGCAGTGTCCTCTGGGCCAGGTCCAAATACCCACATTTCTATCAGGTGAAAGTCAGGACCATGATCTTGAAAGGCACCAATGCCTGGCAAGTCAGAGGCAGCAAGTTGACCTCAGGCTGTTGGATATTAGAACTATTGCTTGGTCACTGGAAAAGGTGCAGAGAGCCAGGACACCTGAGAGTTGAGCTCCATATAGGGCACAAGGGGGAGGGACTCTGCCTCTGAAAATAGGGTAACTGTGGCAGAGGGTAAAGCCTCTGATGGGGGATGTCATTTTCAAGTTAAGGTTTCTGCTACTCAGGCTCCTTCTGATTCTCTACTTCCCCATGTCCTCCTGCACTCACATTGTACCATCCCATGTAGGCCTCCAGATTGCTTGCCTGGCTCCATGCTATGATGATCATGTCTGCAGAATGGAGTTGTTCCCTCCAAGCCAGGCTATGCCCACATGTCACACTTTGTACATGGAGATTGTGTGTGTTGTGAAAATAAAGACACAGCCAGTTACTAGATGTGTAGATGCACTTTTACCACAGGCACATTTGTTTTGCTACTAGCTCCTCCACTTTCTATTAATCATATCCAAAATTTCTGTACCAATTATGTCCCATGCTTAGCTCCCATCAGCTTGAGTATCACCATCTATGGAATCATGGGCATCAGAGCACATGACTCCTTTGCGGAAGCTGGGAAAAAGCTTCCTCTCAACAGTGCCAGGCATTGTAGCCTGTGGCAACAATGCAACAAATCCATCTTATTCCCCAAAGCACAGGAGTCTGTCATAACAGCCTACTTGTCCTCAGGATGACTTCTAGTCCAGAGAAAGTATAGGGATCCAGGCCACAAATTAGGACAATAAAATCCTTGCATTGTTTCCTAGGAGGCCTTGGGCAGCAAGACAAATTGGACTAAAACCAGAATGAGAATTACTCTCTGTAATTTTACTTTTCCTGCACAGGTCAACAATATTGGGGCCTCCAAAAAGCTGTCCATTCTTTTAAGTAAGAACCCAAATGTGTTTTCCAGCCACCTCATACAGCAAACCAAACCCTAAGACTACACATAGATTTTTAAATAAGGCCTTTATTACCACACAAACTAGAGCAATGTGAGGTAGCCAGTTACCAGGTGGTGATTTGTAGGGTGGAAAAACTACCACATGTCGTGTGAGAACAAGAATTTCCATGAAGGGAGGCCTTCCACATCAGTTTCCAGCAGAACCCAGGCTGGGCCCTTCTGGCCAAAGCTGGTCAGATATATGCTGTAATCAGTCAAAAAAAGGAATGAATTCCCCTTAAAGGCTCAGACTGCTCAAGGAATTTCCTCCAAGCAATGGGAGAACACAGGTTATCTGCCTTGCCTTAGTATGCAAAGGTGACTAATGATTTAATTCCAGCAAAGGCTTCCAGCAGTTTAGAATGTACAAAGGAGCTCCTGCAAGACACACATGCCTGGAACTCATGGGAGTCTCACCCATCTGGAGGTCTAGAAGTATGAGGTTTAGGCAGATGGCTCCTTCACAAAGGCTCTCTATAGCCGTAACACTGAAGAAAGAGATGGCACATTCCCTGCAGGTGTAAGGCTTTTCTGAGGTGTGGAGTTACACAATGTTAGATCTTGGGCTAAAGAGTTTTCCACATTTGCTGCTTTCACGAGGTCTCTCCACAGTGTGAGATTTTCGGTGGAGAATGAGGCCAGAGTGTTGTGTAAAGGACTTCCCACATTTGCCACACTCATATGGCCTTTCTCCAGTGTGAACCACCTGGTGTTGAATGAGGCTAGACTTTTGGATAAAGGATTTTCCACACTGTCCACAGTCGTAAGGCCTTAATCCAGTGTGAATTTTCTGGTGTTCAACGAGGGTATAGCTTTGTCTAAAAAATTTCCCACATTCACTGCACTCAAAAGGCCTTTCTCCGGTGTGAGTTCTCTGGTGCCGAACAAGTTTAGATCTGAACATAAAAGCTTTCCCGCATTCCCCACATATGTAAGGTCTTTCTGCAGTGTGAACTTTGTGGTGTTTATTAAGGATAGTTCTTTGGCTAAAGGATTTTCCACACTGGTCACACTCAAAGGGCCTAACTCCACTGTGAATTAACTGGTGCTGAATGAGGCCACACTTTAAGCTAAATGATTTCCCACACTGGCCACACTCATAAGGCCTTGCTGTAGTGTGAATTCTCTGGTGTACAACAAGGCTGAAGCTTTGTCTGAATAATTTCCCACATTCGCCACACTCATATGGCTTTTCTCCTGTGTGAGTTCTCTGGTGCCGAACAAGAGTGGATTTGGACCCAAAGGCTTTTCCACATTCATCACACTCATAAGGCCTTTCTCCAGTGTGAATTCTGCAATGTTCAATAAGGTTAGAACTTTGGCTAAAAGATTTCCCACATTCACCACACTCATAAGGCCTTTCTCCAGTGTGAACTCTGTGATGTTTAATGAGGGTGGCTCTTTGGCTAAATGATTTCCCACACTGACCACACACATAAGGCCTTTCTCCAGTGTGGATCCTCCGATGGTCATTCAGATGAGAGGTTTGGCTAAAAGATTTCCCACATTCACTGCACTCATAAGGCTTTTCTCCAGGGTGGACTCTTTGGAGCTGAACAAGGGAGCACTCGCAGCAGCAGGCCTTCCCACATTTGCTAGATTCATAAAACCTTCTTCCAGTGCAGACTCTAGGGTGAACAAAAGTGTGTTTGTGCCTGGAATCTTTCCTGCATTCACCCCACTTGTAATGACTTATTCCAACATGAAAGGCCTCCTCACATTTGCTGATTTTGTTTGGCTTCTCATAGTTAGCAATGGCCTGTGGCTGAAGAAGGCCCAATGGGGCTAGGAAGTCCTTCCTAACCTCACTACTGGTGAAAGGCATTCCTGACTCACGGAATAGGCAGCACTGCACAAATGAGGCGTTGTCCATGTCCCTTTCCAAGGGTTTCTCTGCACTATGATGCTTCTGATCCTGGTGAAAGACCGCACATGCCCCAGTCAAGTATGATTTCTGCCCAGGCAAATCGGTCAGGTGCAAAATGTCAGTCAGGAATGGGACACACATGTCACAGGATTGAGTCTTCTGGATGGAGGGACTTGCCTCTGGAGTCCTGACCTGAGATACTCCTTTTACAGAAACACTTTGCTCAGGTGTCTCTTCATCCTCTATCCCATGCCAACAAACTGAAAGCAGAGAAATGTTGATGAAATGCATGTTGACTATGATGGGAGTGTATTAATCATTTAAAAAATGCTTTTCCGAATAACTCATGTTCCAATATCTTAAAAACTCTGTTGGCCTGAGCCCAGGAGTTCAAGACCAGCCTGGGCAACATGGTGAAACCCTGTCTCTACTAAAAATACAAAAAATTAGCTGGGCGTGTTAGCAGGCGCCTGTAATCCCAGTACTCAAGAGGCTGAGGCACAAGAATTGCTTGAACCCAGGAGGTGGAGGTTGCAGTGAGCCCAGATCATGCCATTGCACTCCAGCCTGGGAGACAAAGTGAAATTCTGTCTCAAAAACAAAACAAAACAGAATAAAAAATTTTGCTGGCTGGAAAGAGAATGGTGCTTCCAGAGTGAGCCAAATCTTAAGAGATAGCAAGGGGCTCAGGAGGGAGCATACCAAATACACAAAGTAATCAATCCAGAGCCCATACTCCCATTTTCTATGTGACTTGGATGCTTCAGGATCTAATATCCCTCTGCTCTAACCATCCCAAGGTCAGGAAGCAGGCAACTAAGCCTAGTGAGCGTCTTTGCCCCAAAGCAAACTACTCAAATTACCCAATCCTAAACCATTTATCATGTCTTGTGTTACCTGCAAAACCCCAATTAAGGCTGTGGCTTAATATTTTCCCTTCTCTCTTGCTTCTACCTTCTGACCACTAAGCACTTCCTCATGTGGCCCTGCATGGCATGGTGTTCACATGCTCTTGCTACTGCAGGGGATAAATTCCTATGTCATTGACATTAACTACTCTACCACCTCCATTAATTGAAATCCTGTGGGTACATTTTAAAACATGAAAGGGGAAGCACCTTCACATCTACATTAAGGAATGAATTCACAGTATTACTTTGAAGCAATATGGAGGACCTGAAAGCAGGATAAAAAAGGGGCTGTTTGGCAGAAGTGGGCCTCTAGAGATCACAAACTGGGGAGGCCTCACCAAACACAGGACATAAGGATGGGGTGCAGCACATAAGGAGAGTTGGGGTCTCCAATCTACTCTTTTGCCAAATCCTTTGGCAGGATCTTGTTGGCTGCTGACATGTGCATGCTGTGCTGAAGGCTGGTGTTACTCAGGCCCAATATAATGCAATTGGAACTGAATGGGAGATTCCAATTGCGATCATCTTGTGTTCAAGAACTATTTAATAGCATGTGCACAACTCACAACATATTGTGAGTGGGTCAGTGTTGGGAAGCATGCTGGGGGGCAGTGCAGAGAAACTGGTAACACCTGGAAGGCAGAAAGATGGGGGCAGCATGAGGCCAGATGTCCCAGATAAAGCAATAAGTCAGCAAAGTGTCAAAGAAGAGAAAGAAAAGGTAGAAATGAGGTGTGTCCAGTGGTATTAACACCAAAACTGGATGACACAGGGCAAGTTACTGGTAAGATTAGAAAACAGGCTGGATGTCATGCCCTCACCTACGTGCCACTGACTGAGGCCAGGCTTCCTCTGAAGCCATATTCCTATCTTCACCCTTTCCAAAACCAGGGCTTTCCTGGCACCTCTAGATGTGCCACTACTTGGGAGTTTAATGAGGCAAGTCCTAAGGGAAAGCTGGGACAGGTGAGTATCGTTGCCCAGAGCAAGTCAGCATCCTTGAGAAAACAAGAAAGAAAATTAATGTCACACAGATCCTTGAAGGAGGTTCTGGCAACAACAGCTCATGTTCCGTGTAAATACTGATGAGGAAAATTCTGCAAATTCCTAACATAGGCAGTCAAAGGAAATGTCACCTGGGAGGCAGAACTTGAGACACAAAGTGCCATGAATATGGACACAGCCACCCAAAGAGGAAGTGAAGAAGTAAACTGAGATGCGTAGGCTGACTCAAGACACCTAACACCCAGACCTATCCCTGCACACTTTGGGACAGCAAATGTCAGGGCTGACCGAGGAGTGCAACAATTTCATTCCTTATACCACAGCACATATGCCAAGACAGTGGGGAAGTCGGCAGAGCCCATAGTCCGGCAAAGGAAAAGGCAGAGCTGCCTCTGGGGAAAAAGAGGATAGACGAAGACCAGGACGTGAGAGTGGGTGTGAGGGCCTTACCCAGTGAGGTTAAAAGTGCAAAGTTCTCCAGCATCACATCGCGGTACAGGAGCCTCTGAGCCTCATCAAGGAGCCCCCATTCTTCCTGGGAGAAGTAAACGGCCACGTCTTCCAAGGTCACAGAGCCCTGCCATAATGGGGATAGATCTTTCCATGATCAGATTCTCTCCTAGGACCCCAAGTTCATGTCCCCCATGCATCCTTCCCCTGCTTACCCTCATCCCTAAGCCCCATCTCAGGAGACACCAAGCCCCGATTCCTGCCTTCTCCTCATGGTCCCATCATCACTGTGTCTTCCCACAGCACCAACAGGCAGGTGGACAAGGAAATGCCATTTAAACTCTGGGTCAAGCATATAGGGTTGGATTTTGTCTTGTCAGACAATTCTTCTGGGGTTTCCAAGATTATGCCTCTCATACACAAACAAATATGGGGTTAGCCATCATTCTTATATCCTCAATGCCATTGCCATGGGGTGTTCAGTTCACACTTTCTCTCCATATGCATATCACTTTTTGGAGCACACACTCTCAAACAATATCACTCCCATAGCTATTTCCACCCCATCACCCCACACCATAAGCATCTCTCTGGCATCCCCACGATACTTGGAATTAAACATCCAGAAAGTGCTTTGCACATTGAAACAGGGTACAGTGATACTCAGAGGCTGAATGGTCCCCAATGCCAAAGGCAGCCTTCAGAGCCCCATCCTGCTCTGAAGGCCTCCTTGCCTGACTCTGTCCCTTGCCACATCCTCAGTCACCCAGAAATACCTGAGGATCTGACACCCATGGCCCTCTTTCACTAGTGCTGCACTTGATGACCTCTCTTCAGTCACAGCCTTCCTTTCCCGTTAACCCTCATTCAAAGTCTGCCCCAGAGGACCCCTACCTCAGGCCCAGTGATTTTCCCAGATGACCACTTGTGCCCCTCAACTTCTACCTCCCTGAAATTCCTGACACCCCAAGGGTTACCACAAAACCCTGAGTAAGCACTATTCTGGTCTCAGTATCATTTTGTCTCAATTACTTCCAGGCATTGACCTCATGCCCACTCTTTTCCTAGAGCCTTGGCCACCTGCCAGATCATCCTTGCTCTCACACCTTACCATGGCCACCTCTCTCCCAAACCTGTCTTTGTGACTCCCACCATGACCAACCATGTACCCAAGCAGAAGATCTGGTAGTGACCCCCAACTTCCCTTTCCTGGGCTGCTTAATAGCATTACCAGAGTGATCAGGATTCCACCTCCTAATTGTGACCCAAGCTAAGCCCCTAGGCAAATAGTGGCCACCACCTTTTAAATGTGTCCATCCTGAATCCCTCCCCACAGTTCTAATCCTGTAGGATAAACTATCCACTTGATGTCTAAACCAACTGTTCTTTGCATGTTGAGATGATTTTTTTTTTTAATTTAAAAATAGGCCGGGCGCGGTGGCTCAAGCCTGTAATCCCAGCACTTTGGGAGGCCGAGGCGGGTGGATCACGAGGTCAAGAGATCGAGACCATCCTGGTCAACATGGTGAAACCCCGTCTCTACTAAAAATACAAAAAATTAGCTGGGCATGGTGGCGCGTGCCTGTAATCCCAGCTACTCAGGAGGCTGAGGCAGGAGAATTGCTTGAACCCAGGAGGCGGAGGTTGCGGTGAGCCGAGATCGCGCCATTGCACTCCAGCTTGGGTAACAGGAGCGAAACTCCGTCTCAAAAAAAAAAAAAAAAAAAAAAAAAAATTTAAAAATAAAGATATTCCAAAACAAAACTTCTGATTATCTCCAGAGATAACTGACTCAACTACCAACTTTACAATCTTGGCTAGTGGAGCTTCCCTATTTCCAGCTGTTAAACCCAAACACCTTGCCTTTGCCCCTGAACCCTGCTGTTCTCTCACCTTCAACATCTCAAAATCAAAACTTTCCTACTTAAAAAACTGATCTAGAATCCAACTACTACCTCCACAGCCACAACACAAGTCCAGTCACCAGTAACACTCACCTGGACTACTGCAGCAGGCTTCTCCACTATTTTCCTAACTCATTGCTCACACTCAGCCTGTGTTCTCTCAGCCTGGCCACACACAGGGAACCTGAGACCTGGGTCACATCACATACCTCCTCTGCCCACAAGCTCTCATTGCTCATCACACACTCCAGAAAAAACAGCCAACATCTGAGAACCATTTATGGTCTGATTCCTGCAGCCCAGCTTTCAGTTTCCATGAGAAAGAAAAAAGCTGTAGTTCCCTAAACCAGCTCAGCCTGACCTTAAAGCACTTGCTCATCTGGTATCTAAGCCTGAGACAACTTTCCACACTCCTATTACTGGTTTCCAGCAATAGGAGCCGTTCTATACCGGCCTCCAGCCTGGATGTATGACCCTGGGATTGATGTTTGTTCAGGTTCCTTAGAACCAAGGACCAAAAGAGTGCCAAGAGAAGAGTCCCAGAACACAATCTCAGAGACAAAAACAGGTCAGCACCAGTGAGGGCCCGAAATACTCTTCACTCACCTGTGTGAAGCCTGTAAATTTAGCTTCTGCAGTCATGGGTACCTGCGGGAAGAGGAAGGCTGTGAGAGGCAGGTAACTATGCTGAAAGCTCCATGGGCTCATGCCTCCTTGTTTCCCTGAGCAGCCCTGGAGCCAGATGACTTGGTGATGACAAAATTATCATTGCTACTCAGCTCCGCGGTCCTCAGTGTGATTCTTACCTGCTCTGGGACCTTGCACAAGGACTCAACCTCCCGGTGTTATCCCCCTTCCAGGCTGTTCTAACTCTGAGTAGCTTTAGGAAATTTCTGAAGTCTAACTCAGACCATGCGCCTTTCTGTTCACAACCACCTATGGCTTCCAGCCTCTTGAGAAGAGCAAGCCTCACTTTACCATTCCAGCGTGAACGCTCCTGGCTCAGCTGTCCCAACAACATTCACAGAAACCGGTCCCTCCACCTGCCACACCCTCCACAAACCACGACACCAGGCCTGTAAATGGGAGTCCGGGGTCCTGGCATCTGGGGCCGGGCTGCAGGGACGCGAGCAGGTGCCCCTCACGCGGGGCGTTCGATTTCGGGCGGGAGGGCAGGTGAGGCTCGCGGGGACGCAGCACTCACCGGAGTCAGAGCCCTCAGCACGGACGCCGCCATCGGATTATGGGCAGAGCGGGGCCGGGAGTGGCGGGCGACCCGGGGCGGGAACCCAGGCACAGCTGCCACCAGGGCCGGCGACCCACGGACTGCCGCGCAGCTGGGCGATCCTTGCTCTGCGCCGCACGCAGCGTTCCTAACTCAGGCGTGGGCCAAAATAGAGAACAACCAAAACGAGCACCTCCGAATGGCGCCGGAAGTCCCGCCTTACTGTGTGCAACAACCACCGACACGCCCGGTCCTGAACGTTGATTGGCTCCTCCTCTTTGCAGCTTGGCGCTCGGCGTTGTGGGTAATGTAGTTCTCGGAAGCCCAGGTGTGGGAAGTAGAAAAGTTATCTTCAAGTTTCCATTCTTGTTAAAGAATAATCATAAGTGTTAGAAATAATAGTTTGTTTTAAACACTTTATTCAAAGCCTTCTTGCTTTTTGCTAGTAGCTCTTTGTTAAGCCCTATCCTAAATGGCTGTTAGATATGTTTATAGGCACCTGGTATATTCTATGTCCTTGTACTTTAACCACGATATCTGTGCTGGACGTGCTAATAAGCATGTCCCAGCTTGCAGCCTATGCCCCTTCCTTTACTTGGACTTGCTTTTTCTTCACCATTGCTTTTACCTGTTTAGAAAAGTTTTAAGTTTTAGCCAATTGGGTTTTAGTTTAGATTGCGAGGCCTGGCTCTAACCAGCGGAGATTAGATACAGCAGTAAGGACAATCCCAGATGCTTAAGGGATAAATATGTCTGCTTTTTCTTTGTTTGTTGTACTCTCCTGGCAAGATTGCTGGTGAGGGTACCCTTTCTGCAGGAAGTCCTTGCTGAGATCTTTTGTCCCAGTGCTGACTTTTCTTTGTGGCACTGAAAATTTACATACAACACCAGGGCTCCAGTGCCCTCCCTGACACAAGATCCAAGCGGCCTCTGGGAGGGTGCTAGGAAAAGGCACAACACCATCAACAGGCAGACAGGGTCTTGCCACACCTTAAAAAGGCCACTGGCCGATTTCCAAGGTCCCATACCAGACTGAGCACGTGGCTAGAGACGTTGATTCAGGTTCAGGAAGCTAAGGCTCCGATCCACTCTGAAGTGTCACTCCACAGGCCAGGTGGACACCATGGCCGCCCTGCCCCCTGGGAGGGAAGGAGCCTCATCCTCCTCATGTGCAGGGCCAAGGCATTTGAGGCCATTTTGAGGACCTCAACAGTTCCGTAGGTGACAGAAGCTACCCACAGATCAGGGTCAGTCTCAGGGCCGCTGGTCCGAGAGGCCACTTGGGGGCTATGCCCTCTGGCCACCCCTCCCCTGAGCCCTTTGATGGTTCCCAGGTGCAGGAGGCTGGGCCGAGAAGTTCCTGGGGCAGAGTTCCTGGGTGGCTTCACCCAGGCGATGCCTCCTCCAGGAGGACACTTCACCCTGGGTGAGCTGGGAAAAGGGCGTTTCCTTGACTAGCAGGCTGCACGAAACACAGAGAATCGAGTGACACCATGAATGAGCACAAAGGGACTGAATGCTGGAAAACATGAGGACAAAATCATAGAGATGTCCACCAGCCACTGACCCGGAATAACAAATAAAGTCATCCAAATGTGCAAAAGAGAGGAGAGTGAGTAAAAGGAAAGAAAGGTGCTCACAAAGATCAAAATGGTGCATGTGGCTCTGGCCTCTTGAGAAGCTCTGGAGGAGAGTCTGTTGCTGTGAATGTGTTGAACTCGCTGCTTGTGTCTGTGCAGGAAAAGGACCATGGAACCACTGGCCCAGACCATGAGGCCCAAACTCATAAAGTCAATTGCAGAGAATGTGAATACGACTAGAAACTTTATACAGGTATTGATCGACTTACGACCATTCGACTTTACGACCACAATCGCTAGCCACGACTGCTCTGCGTCTCGCAGCGCAAACGTTGCCCAGCTGGGCGTACGACCGTGCGGACCAGCTTACGGCAGCACTACCATCTCCGCGTGCACCACTTCAACTGTTATCCCAGACTCGGTACAGCAATTTGTGTTTTGTGTCTTGGATATTTTTCATCAAACCCCTCCCAATAAACTTCTTATACATTTCAAAGCAATGGACCCAAACATCGAACAATTTGCAAGGATTGAACGGATGGCGCACGATGTGTTTCGTCCGTATCGTGAAATTTATGTAGAAAAAAAGAAACATACAATTCAGACAAAGCTCACCATGTTTATGAAAAAACCAACTCCGGTAACCCCAACTGCTGCCTCAGATGACGACATCAACAATCTGCAGCCAAGCACCAGCGGCCAATAAAATGTTTCATACCTGTTTATATATTTTGATATGTTTTGCAATTGGGAAAATGTTTCCTATGGTATTTTTTACACCCGTATTTTGTATTTTTGTATGCACCTGTATTTTGTAATTTTGTATGTTTTGCAAATATTAAACAAGTTGTACTGGTAATGCAGTGTTTTACTTAAACCTGACGAATGTAAAAATAAGAAACAAAATGGTGTAGAGATGATACAAATGGCATAAAATGAACAAAGAAAATTATGATATATAACAATAATGAGGGCCGGGCGAGGTGGCTCAAGCCTGTAATCCCAGCACTTTGGGAGGCTGAGGCGGGTGGATCACGAGGTCAAGAGATCGAGACCATCCTGGTCAACATAGTGAAACCCCGTCTCTACTAAAAATACAAAAAATCAGCTGGGCATGGTGGTGCATGCCTGTAATCCCAGCTACTCAGGAGGCTGAGGCAGGAGAATTGCCTGAACCCAGGAGACGGAGGTTGCGGTGAGCCGAGATCGCACCATTGCACTCCAGCCTGGGCAACAAGAGCGAAACTCCGTCTCAAAAAAATAAATAAATAAATAAATAAATAACAATAATGAAAGAAAATTATGATAAAATATGACTTAAAGATTTTTATAACATCATTTCACAGTACTGTACATATAGCCTACTCAACTTATGACCAAATCATGTTACGACCGGTCTATCGGAACCAATCGTGGTCGTAAGTCGAGCACTAGCTGTAGATCTAGCTGGTTTGAGTGAAGAACAGTATACATAATTTATTTTCACACTTACATTTTTGCTGTTTAATGGACTAATCATTCCCATAAGAACAAAGATATTTGCCAACACCTGCAGGATCCAGCAGAGAAAACAGCAGAAGCCAATGCACTTTGGAGATCTCATTGTGAGCTCCAACCACCTAGAGAAACTGGGACAAAGCTTTATGGTCTGGAAGCCACTGAGAAGACAGGTGGTGCTAAGGGAAACCCCTCTGGCCACTCTGTGAAAATAGAAGAGAATTTTGCATACAGCGTCATCTAGGAAAAAGTTCAATCCAAGAGCTACTATTGTATGAGGGATCCCTTTAGAGAAAAGCACAGAAAAATTGGCAAAGGCCAGTTGATTGATAATAAGATCCATGGGTCTAATCTTGTGTCCAGTAAGCAAAGTGAAGTTAAAAAGACAAAGAAGGAAGGAGTTTCCAAGGATTCCCCCTACCATCTGAGTGAGAATGGTAAACCCCATTTGCAGATTGGTGGGAGCCATCATGTTATTCTCTATCAGACATTGATTTTAATTGGTGCCAGAACAATGAAGAGTTCAACAAATGAAAAGAAATATGTTGGGCAAGCATGATGGTTCATTCCTGTAATCCTAGCACTTTGGGAGGCTGAGGCAGGAGGATTGCTTGAGGCCAGGATTTCAAGACCAGCTTGGGCAATATAGCAGGACCCCATATCTAAAAAAAAACAAATAGCTAGGTATAGTGACATTGAGGCCAATGAGATATGATCACAACACTGCACTCCAGCCTGGGTAAGAAAGCAAGACCCTGTCTCTTTTTTAAAAACAGAAAGGAAAAAAAAGAAATAAATTATCATACCATGCCCAATAAACTCCAGTACTAACCTAACATGTATTTTCCTAATTCAAGTGGGCCCTAAGCATGTGTGCTTATGGATACCAAAGCTACTCTTGAAATTTCTATGTGGAAACAGTTTAAATGTCTGTCTACAAAAACCAAGTGAATGCTTTATGGTCCATCTGCACAACATAACTTTCTGCGCCTGTAATTTGAATGAGGAGGCTGTCTATACTCTGAACTAGTTACCAAATGGATGCTTTCGGAAATGAAAAGCTAGGTAAAGAACCGTGTAGAATATGCTAAGATTGTTGCATGTATGTGAAGGAATAAAAATATAGGCTCAGAATATATAGAGGATGGGGCAGAACTTAAGCTAGACTTTTAGGAAAAAATTATGTTATAATGTTTTATAAAATAAATATTTCACGTAATTATTAAACAGTATTAAGCCAAATTAAATGTTTTAAAAACATAACATTTAAAGGTTAAAAAATGATTGGATGTCCAGTTGGTGGCTCTAAGAAAATGAATTATTTCAAGTAAATGGAAAATACAAAGTTTTGACTGCATATTCCTAGAAGGATATCTTAAGGCAAAACTAGCTGCAAAGAAATCTTAAACTTGTCTGTATATTTTACTACAATTATTGATATGGTATTTTTGAAGTAAATATAGTAATGTAAATGGAAATAATGCTTTCTATGAAAGAAAAAGTAAATGTAAATATGAAACTAAAGGCTGGGAACAGTGGCTTATGCCTGTAATCCCAGCACTTTGGGAGACCAAGACGGGCAGATCACTTGAGGTCAGTAGTTTGAGACCAGCCTGGCCAACAAGGTGAAACCCTGATTCTACTAAAAATACAAAAATTAGCCAGATACAGTGGTACACACCTGTTGTCCCAGCTACCTGGGAGGCTAGGGTGGGAGAATCACTTGGACCTGGGAGGTAGAAGTTGAAGTGAACTGAGATCATGCCACTGCACTCCAGACTGGGTCACAAAGTAAGACTCCATCTATATAATTAAAGATTTTGAATAAAACTCTACAACCTCCATTTGTTAGAAATAATCAGTATTAACTTATATAATATTTAA